GTGTTTGTTATCACTAAAATTTCTATGTCATTATTTGTTAATAAAGCAATTTTTTCCAAACCTCACATCATTTTGTTTAAGTGGTTTATGAAGTCAGCTGTGTGGTTTATAACAAAACCTTAAACAAAAGAGAGAGTATAATAGAAAAATGTCACAATATTTGGGTAAAAAGTTAAACATTGTCTTAAATAACTTTCACTTCAGGGTTTACTGTATAGATTTATAAAATGTATTTCTTTTTGAGGGTCCTAGACCAAAATATTCAAAAGCCATTTATTTAATATCTGAAGTTATTGTCCAAACATACTAAATAGGTGACACAAAATTTTTCTTATGTCTGACCTTAAGCAATTTTACTGTTAGTCTTAAACCATTAAATTATGTATAACAATATTAAACTTTGTCTCAAGCCAGTGACATCTATAGAAATACAACCCACAGAAGAAATTTTGGTTGAAAAGCATTCCTATTTTTCTTTAAAATATTTAAATTCATTTATTAAGTATTTAAATAAATTTAAATATTCAATATACTTAAATATTTTATATATCTAAATTTCTTTAAAACATTATTTTAAGGTCTGAAATTCACAATTTAACTAAAATTTAGCTTGGCTTGAGGATGAGAAATGATGGGAGGCCTGATCTAGGTTTTACTTATTGATATTACCTTGTCTATAAAAAAATATTTCACTGTGGAAAAATGATGCCAACTATTGATTGGTTTATTGATTCAGCTATATTATTTGCCTTATTTTTTTGTGGTGTAAATATTTCATATTAACAAAAAGATTTTTAAATGCCAACCTTGTAATTCTAAAGCTTTAGTTTCATTTAATTCACGAACACCTGAAGATGTAATGAAGTGGGTCATTAAGTTCTGGAAAGGAGAAATGGTTTTGTTTTTTAGTCTTGATGCATTTTGATGAGAAAAATGTCTTTACAATGACTTCTTGTTTCCATGAGGTAGAGAGTGGGTCTTTAGTCTTTGGAACCAACAAAGCCACAACTTAGACCATAGAAAGCACTGTTTTGAGTACACGTGTGTTATCAGAGCAAAAGCCTACCATGGAAAGACCCATCAGGAGTGTACTGTTGCAAAAGTCCAATCAAAGTAAGCACCACCCTCGATGTGGGAAGCTGTAGATGCAAAAAAGGAGCAAGTGGGACTGATGGAGCAAAGGGACACCACCAATGATAAAGGAGGGGACATTCCGAGGCTAAAAGGGAAGCTGGGGACTTCTGGTCTCAGATGTGGGCCCCCCAATGTGTCCACAGTGTGAGAGTAATCATAAAATCAAGACCGCAATGGGTCATGCAAGGAGCGGTTGGTCCCCTTGGGTCCTCTGACAGAATATACTTTGGTTCCCTTGAAAATGGGTTGGCAAGGGAGTGAAATGGACAATACACTTAAAAGGAAAACTAAATATTTCTCCTCGGATCCACACCCCCCGAAAAGACACTCTTAACCATAATGAATATATAAAGAATCATCAGCCTCTCTTGAATACTCAACAAGCATTCTCCCTCCTCCTCCCTCCCACTCACTCCTCTAAATAAGAAGGTATGCACAGACACAGTGAGCTTTATGGAGACGGTGGAGAATTCTCAACATGCTTTATTTCCTGACACATGTTTTCAACCTATCTGGAAAATGTTTTACTTTGAGTGATGTTTCTTACTCTTAAATTCACCAAATAATTTTTAATAAAATAAAAACTACTAAGTATATCGTGCTCATTTTGGCAGCACATAGACTAAAATTGGAACGAACCAGAGAAGATTAGCATGGTCTCTGTGCAAGGAGGACCTGCAAAACTCCTAAGTATATAGTTAAATGTGGTTTGTTTAAATTTAAAAGAAATCTATAGATCTTAGACTATTTTATTTTAGATGGTATCATCAGAGATGAGTTGAACACAAGATGCTATTTTCATTCAAAGGAATGGGGTCATAAGCACATGGCATGTTTTTATTCACATACTAGCTACATGCTGCATGAGACCCACTCCTGCTATGGGTGACTGACTTTAGAGTCTTACTTTTAGATCGCTAATTTAAGAAGCTTCTTCTTACTTTTGTATGTTGATAGTTTCATGTTATTTCAGAGGTATTCCCCTGAAAAAATTTCCATCCTTATTTTTAGAGTTTCTTATTATGGAAAAATTTAAATATATACAAAAGTAGACAGACTAGTATGAGGAACCCAAGTCACCCATATGCAACAATTATCAGCTCAAGGTGAGCCTTGTTTTATCTATGCCCTCACCTACTTCCTGCCTTCCAGTATTGTTTAGAAGCAGATTCTGACATCATATAATTTCAGGCATAAATATTTCAATGTAACTCTAAAAGACAAGGATTCTGATTCTTTTGTTTTATTTATTCAATTTATTTATTTAGTAATCTCTATTCCCAATGTGAGGCTCTAATTCATGACTCCAAAAGAGTTGCATGCTCTTCTGACTGAGCCAGCCAGGCACCCTGACAAGGATTCTTTTTCATTTTTTATTTTATTTTATTTTTTAAAGATTTTATTTTTAAGTAATCTCTACCCCCAGTGTGGGCTGTGAGCCCACAACCCTGAGATCAAGAGTTGTATGCTCCACCAACTAAGCCAGCCAGGCACTCCAAGGATTCTTTTTTACAGAAAACAAATCCATAGTTCCATTTTGCACCTAATAATGAAAAATAATTTTATAATTTCAAACATAGTCAACAGATTATATTATAGTCAGTGATTCACACCAAATCAGTTTTTGAGGAAAGCTCTCATTTTGTACCATAAGGAGGACAAAGTGGTTTGCCTTCCTGTCTACAGAAGGAAGGGATTCGAGTTAAAACAAGGATAGAGATAGGCAAAGGGAAATATGATCGTGTCTGGATGATACCTGGATTAGTGAGGGCTCTGACTGCAGGTCAGAGTTGGAATAAACCGTAAAAGGACCCTTATTTCAATGATACTGGAGCATCTGATGGAACCGAAGTGCAAGAGGTCAGCAGGGGCTCAGAAGCGATCTGAACTGGGAAATGGGATGGAGTCACCACAGGGGGACCCTCTCCGTCATACACCTCTCCTCTCTCTCACCTATATTTCATTCCTCATGTGTGGGAAAAAGCTATGCTCAAGCCCCTGAATTTTCTCTACTTCTCTGTATAAGAAACCAGCCAACACTGGAATGGGAATATCTTAGTTATAATTGCAAGTTTCCAAGAAAAGGGGCTCTGATTGGGCCAGTTTGGGTTAAGTGTCCACTCTTGGTCCAGTCAGCAGTGATTGAGGGGGTGGGTCACATGTCACAAATATGGCTGTCAAAGTTTACCCATGTGGTCTGGTGAGGAGTCAGAATCTTTCAGAGAAAGCTAGGGGCCATTGCTCATGGGCTGGGTTGTTGCCAAGGAAGACTGACAGCAGAAGCACCTCTGGAAATAAGTAGTCAATGGTGGATCACTGTGTGTAGGGTCTCACAGGCCGGAGGCATTCCTCTCTCCCCGTGCGACGGTGGACAGGTGTCCTCACTAGGGAAGGGGTTCCATTCTGGGCTGGGTTGTCAAATTCAGTCAACTCTGTGCTTCTCTCCCTGAAGGTTTTAGAGCACAGACTCCCCAGCAAGTTTTTTCTCCAGTGATCCCAAAGTGAGAACCACCCTATAGGCCAGTGAGCAAGCTAGGGTTAGTCTGCCTCTAGCTAGGTCTTGTCCCATGGCTGGGGCATCGCAAGAGAAAACCTTTAAAACTAGGTCCCCCGTCCACCACAGGATCTGAGAGCAAGGCTGAGGCAGGTAAAGACGAAGGCACAGTATGAGATATAGAGATGAGACAAAGTTAGAGGTCTAGAAAGAATCAAAGACTAAATTCAGCTGAGGTGCTTAAGGTGAAGGCTGACTAGGTACATTCATCTTCATCTTCTTCACTGGGCCCTCCTTATTCCTTACTCCTTCTTCTTTCTCTCTTTCCTTCCTTCCTTGCTTCCTCCCTCCCTCCTTTCATTCCTTTTTTCTACTACTTTCTTGCTTGCTTTCCTTCCCTCTCTCTCCTCCTTTTTTCAATGTTCCTCCATCTGTGCTTTGAGGACCATCAGCACAAATCACTTCAGAGGCTCCTTCAAGATTCAGACTCTAGCCCTTGTTCCTAGACGTTCAGTTTGGCAGCCTTGGGGCCTGGCCTGGGAATCTGCCTTTTTCACAAGTCAGGAGATTTTGATACACACCCAAGTTTGAGCACCACTTGCTCTGAGCAGAAACATTAGTCAAGTTGACCCCAGAATATTCCATTCATTCCTGTGCCTTTAAACAAGATGAATTTTCCTAATATAATTTCCCCACATTTCTGTGGTGATGGAGATGTGTGTAGGCAGCATACCACAGTTGTTAATGGAGACATTTAAGTCTACACCCTGAATACCTCTCCTCCTGCCCTAGGAGCTGCCCTAACAGCTGCCTGGTTCAAGAAAAGCTCACGAAGCTCTCCTGGGCTCCCAGTCATGCCACCATCACCCCAGATTAGGGAAGTGGTTTGTTTGCTTCCCTCGATTCAATAATGTATTCACACTCTTGACCATGGCATTGGTACTGTGAGTTGGCTAACAAAATAATAATTATGTTTACATAGAAATTGTAAATTCTAATTTTTAAACGTCACCAAGCCTGGTTTGATATAACGGTATCTAGATTCGTATGTCAAAGCGCCCTAATTGGGAGAGAGTCTCCTGTGTGGAAAGTATAATAGCTACCATGTTGAGGCAACCTGGGGGTATAAAGTCATCTTGGGCTGGTCCTGAAAAACCATTTCTTATTTTATTCTTTATTTTTTTTTAAGATTTTATTTATTTTTTTTGAGAGAGCAGAAGGTAGAGTCAGAGGGAGAAGCAGACTTCCTGCTGAGCAGGGAACCCAATGTGGGACTTGATCCCAGGACCCTGGGATCATGACCTGAGCCGAAGGCAGACACTTAACTGACTGAGCCACCTAGGCGTCCCCCATTTCTTATTTTAAAAAACAGCTTTATTCTTAGCCTTTTGGCTAAGATCTAGCATCTGTTCTTGTCAGTTTAATATCTGATATGTCCTTTATCCAAGGACAATATATTAAATGGATTTTGGGAGCAGGGGGATGGAATAGAGCTTGCTCCATCCACTCCATGCATTGAGCTGGTACTGCAGTGCCTCCAGGAACGGGCACCCCCTCGGGGCTTCAAACTTGCAATGGTGTTGGGGTGCCTGGCTGGCCCAGTCGGGAGAGCATGTGAATCTCCATCTCAAAGTCATGAGTTCGAGCCCCATGTTGGGCATGGAGCCTTCTTAATAAATAATAATAGGGTGGCTGGTTAAGCGTCTGCTCTTGGTTTTGGCTCAGGTCGTGATCTCAGGGTCATGAAATTGAGCACCTCGTCAGGCTCTGCGCTTGGTGTGGAGTCTGCTTGAGATTCTCTCTCTCTCTCCTTCTGCCCCTCCTGCTCATGCTCTCTCTATTTCTCTCTAAGATAAATAAATCTTTTAAAATGATAATAATAATTACAACAATAAATTAAAAGCAGCTTTATGGAGATATCTTACATACCATAGGGGTGCCTGGTTGGCTCAGTCGGTAGTGCATGAGACTCTTGATCTCGGGGTCCTGATCATGAGTTTGAGTCCCATGTTGGGCACAGGGTTTGCTTGAAAAAAATTTACATACCATAAACTCACCCATTGGGAGGATATGGTAGATGCATTTTAGCGAATCTCTGTATTTACGTATATATTATGAATGACTCCAATTTTCCAACACTTCCACCCAACCAAAAGCCTCCCTTCACCTGTTGGCAGTCACTCCCTGATCCCACCTGCAGCCCCAGGCAACCACTGATCTACCACTGATCTATAGAAATTTTCTATAAATAGACTCATACGCCATATAGTGTTGTGTCTGATTACTTTCACTTAGCGAAATGCTTCTGAGGTCCATCCCAGGCTGTTGTGTAGATCAGTTGTTCATCCCTTTTCATTGCCAAGTAGTATTCCATTGGGTGGATTATTTTAAGGCCTTAATTTAAAGTGTTTTCGCATTGATATAATTGGAACTTCTGTATGACTAGAAACTCCAAACCTAGACAATTTTTTGCTGTCTCTGTGCCGTCAGAGGAGAGGAAACCTGCAGGTCATTTCAATTCCAGTAGCTGGCAAAGAACACAAGAGGATAGTTTTCGGAATGTTGCTTCAACACTCAACTCGTGTTCTCAGATTTCAACCGATGATACCTATTTTTCAGTGAAAAAGCATTGCACGTCTTTTATAGGATGTAATTGTTGAATGCAGGTTTTTTCTGAAACTTGCTAATGTCATTGGTTAGGTAAGATTTATAATATGCTTGTGAGCTTAATCACAATTTTATATGTATTTTACTGTATAGGAAGATCCATGTAAAACTACATGATCTATTGCAAGCATACCAGTCTGTGGCACACCTGTTTTATAATTACCTTAATTCTTGGGTTCACAGGAATGGACTGTAGCCCCTAAACGTGATAAAAATGTGATATTCTGTGAATGTGCTCCATGCATCTATTTTGGAGTGCATAGCCTCTGGTTCAAATATCTTTGTGTGTGTATTGCTTTGGAAATACTTTCTCAGCTTTGGAGGCATTCTACAAACACTTTCTGACATAGCCCACATTCCGGGGTATTTGCAGAAGAGCTGCCACTCTCCCCCCCACGATCCATTTCCGGATGCACAGCTGAGTGGCCCAAAGAGGAAAGAGTATCTAGTGGTTTGGAGAATTTAGTTCAGTGGGTCCTGAAGGTCTTTATTTTTAACAGTATGATTAAACAATATTTCTGACAGCACAGGAAATTAGACACATGTTTATGAAGTGCTTCTTTTGAAAAGGGCACAATGCCAGGGTATAAAACAATGATTTATATACTTCATTCATTAAAAAGAAATTTTAGCAGCAACTATGGGCTAGGTGCGGTGGGAGATGGGAAGTTGAGTAATTCTCGTCTTCAAGCATGTACCATCTTAGGAGGAAATACGACCTTGGTGTTATTCTTCAGGTGATCTGTGTTTGCTGATGAACTTTGGAAACCTATGTGCTTTCTTTGGCTGGGTTTGGCAGAAAAATAGTTTCTGAATTATTCTGGAGACAGAAATCTTTTGCTCCCGGGGTGCCTGGGTGGCTCAGTCATTAAGCATCTGCCTTCGGCTCAGGTCATGATCCCAGGGTCCTGGGATCGAGCCCCGCGTCGGGCTCCCTGCTCCGCGGGAAGCCTGCCTCTCCCTCTCCCACTCCCCCTGCTTATGTTCCCTCTCTCACTGTGTCTCTCTCTGTCAAATTAATAAATAAAATCTTAAAAAAAAAAAGAAAGAAATCTTTTGCTCCCCCCCGGATACAAGTTTCTTTCCGATCCGAAGAGCATGAGTTAAGTGGATCCAATTGTTCAGTGAAGGTGCATCTGCAGCTTATGAGATCTTTCATCTTAACCTTGATGGTAGGAAACTTCTGTACCTGTCATGGAGGGGACACGGCATGTTCCGAAGGAGCTCTGACTCAGGAACCAGAACAACCTGGGTGCTGATTCTGGCTTTGCTGTTAATTAGCAGGGTGATCTTTGGCATTAATGTTGATTTCCCCAGGGTCTAGGTTGTTTCTTCTAGAAAAGGAGGACACTTGTGGCGATAAGTTTTTAGGTTCCTTTCAGCAAGAAAATTCCATGAGGCCTTTTTCACTGAGGAAGCAAATCCCTGGCAAGCCCTTGTCTAATAATTACTGTTAGGTAACCCTCCTAAGGGTTTATGACTTTTCCAATCTTCAGGTGGTACACATTTTTTTCTTTCCTTGGGTTTATGATGGAACAAAGTTAACAAGCATGTCATTGATACATATTGAGGTATTAAACATTAATTTTTGCCTGAGTAGTAATGAGAAAATTAACTTTTGTGTTTCTTTTTTTGGGGGGAGGTTATTGACCCAACGCCCTTTAAAGACTGATTTATTTGAGGGGGAGGAATGGAGAGGGGCAGAGGGAGGGAGAGTCTTAAGCAGACTCCGCACTGAGCGCAGAGCCCCACGAGGGGCTCGATCCCACCGTCCTGAGATCACGACTTGAGCTGAAACCAAGTCAGACACTTAACTGTTCCACCCAGGTGCCCCTAACTTTTGTGTTATATATATATATGTATACACACACACACACACACCCACCCACCCCCACACACACACACACACACATACCCTTTCTACCGTGAAAATGAGAAATCAAGTCATTAACATAGGCAAATTAGAAGTGAGACTCTGGAGTTTTAGTGTTATTTCTCCTGTCCTCCTCCAACCTCCAATTCCAAGACTGATAAACTATGAAGATGGTGACAGAGGTCATGTGACATCCACATCCCAATGTCCTGCTGTTCTTAAATAAAGGAAGGATAAAATCCCTGTCTTTTTATGCTGTAAAAAGTAGTATTTGTTCATCTTTTAGGTTTTAATGATTATTTCTCAGTTATCTGCAAAAGCTGTGGTAAAGTCTTTATGAAGAACAAAGGATGTTCTTCATAACAAAGGACAACAGACACCAAAAACATAAAAATTAAAGATTTGGTGTTTATCCTGCCTTCTGGATACATGATGCGAAGCAACTACGCATAGGGAACCCTGGTATGTTTTGATAAAATTCAAATATCAGGTCTTAGAAAGATCTATAAGTCTTTCTTCTCACGAAACAAATAATCTGTTCTTCAATTTTAAAAAGGCGTATCAAGAAAATTGACCTCAGAGTTTAGATACGAAGTTTAGGTGTTAAGTCAAATCTCCAATTTTGTTAGTCATGGAAAGTATGATGATCATATAATCAGAAAACAGTTCCTTCTTGTCCTCAGGTGAAAATGGAAAATAAAGTGCCTGCATGTGATACAGGCTTGGGACAAAAGGCCAGGGTTGGGGGGAGGCAGGATCTAGCCCAGACACACAGAGGCAATGACCAGGAAGGATGTGATAGTACATGGGTGATTTAGATTAAAGATGAATCTAGTAACCAGTGGGCATAGAGTTTTACAAAGCTATATGTAAGCAATATAAAAGTAAGTTTAAAAAAAAAAAGTAAGTTTCAAGCAAATGCTGAGATTAGGTCCTGCTGCAAATGATAGAAAACCCAAAGTAACAGTGGCTTAAACATGATTCAAATATTTTCTCTAAACAGTTGTGTGAAGGGTGCCCCAACCAACAGGAGCCCAGGTTCCTTCTACCTGGTTCTTCAAATCATGTGGATGTCACATGACCTTATGGGCCAAGACAACTCTTCAAGCCCCATCTAGGCAGCAAAATGAAAGAAGGGGGAAGAGAACAAGCTCCTCTATTTAATGATACTTCCCAGAAGTATGCTTACATCCTGTTGCCTAGAGTTAAGTCACATGGTCACAACTAGATGCATGGGAGTTTGGGATTCTGGTGGAGGTTGGGTTTCTTGATTGGGGGTACTTTGTGCTCAGTTAGAAATTGGGGTTCCATTGTTGCAGAAGAGTGCATCTCTGTGCCAGAGACTTTAACCTTGCCCAGATAGCAGTCTGGCCCTGGCCTTCCATTTCCGATAGGTTGTCAAGCTCCACGGGAGTGTGTAGACTGGGGACTGCCTTGTGACCAAGTCCATGTGATTTAAGGTCAATTAGGTTGGGGTCTGTGGGTCATGAGGTAGTAGTTGAGGTTCAAGTGGGGCTTGGGACTGAGATCAGATATATGGGAAACCAGCACAACTACATGATGGAGCTCCAACAGAACTCTGGTCCCAGAGCTTGGATGGGTTTCCCTGGTTGGCAGCACTCTGTGTATCTTGCCAACTCATTGATGCCAAGGGAGTATGCTGCCCATGACTCCATAGGGAGAGGACAATGGAAGCTCCACTTTGGGTACTTTCCTGGACTCTGCCCTCTGTACTTCTTCCCTTGGCTCATTTTAATCTGTATCCTTTTGTTCTAATTAACTGTAACTATGGGTACAACAGCTTTTAGCGAGTTCTGTGAGACTCTCCAGTGAACGACTGAAACTGACGACGGTTTGGGGAATCCCACAAACTTGTAATTGGTGTCAGAAGTGAGAGTGGTTTGATGCTACCTTCTTAGCACCCCAACCATTCCCTGGTAATGGCACAATGGAGCAAAAGGGCAGGGCTGCTTCTGGCCAGAGGCTCTACACATGCCAGGCCTTACCTGCCTGGCC